GCTTAGTTTTACTTGACCGGAGCAATAGTTTCGGATTGACTGTAACGAAGCTTATTGCCTATGTTCAATGCGAAACTTATTGGTTATAATTTTCTATTTGTAATAATTCGTAGTGTATGATGACGATGCAATCGTTAGCACATTTATTTACATAATTAGACTATTATTTAAAATTTGTAGATAGTCTGGGCTCGAATCCGGAAGACGTGGTTTCGATTCTTACAGCGGCGATAAACTCTTTGTTTTTTTTTCTACGAATTTTAATGTTTCGTCTTAAGTGCAGAGATAAGCACCAAAAATTTAAATTTCAAGTATTACTTCTTTAATCAGAATGCGATGTTATTTTAGATGTGTTTTCGCCCGCAAGTATTTTTTAAAAAGGACTATTAAGCAGTGATACATAAAAATGTATGCTAGCAGGTAATATAAATAACAAAATAAGTACACGAGTACGTACTCATTTAATTTTAATCCGTAGTCTTTTGTAATAAATCTCCGCCATTAAGGCCTGTTTAAAGCGTTCGAATTACGCGCGCCGCCATAGAAAATTCGAAACCTAACACTCCGATAAAGCGTGTTCCTTTTTTGAATTCAAAGCGTGGCTTTATCAAAAGACATCGGGATTGTTGAGATGCGCGACCCCATTTTTGGCTATGCGTCATTCGGCCCCATCCGATCCATTTGCCCCCATTGATTGGCGTCCGCCGACTCCGATTCGACTAATTCACTATGCATTTGTTTGCAACCGCGACCGGTTTAATGGTAATACACGTAGCGAACGGATCACTCGAAATTCGTTGCATGTGGAAATTGGCCCGATGAGTGAAACTAACAGTCCGTTGCGGTGTCGTTCATTCACTCGCGGGTCCCGAATCGGATCTGTGTGCGCGTTTTTATTTCGTTCAGCGGCCGTTGCTTTTTCATTTCGGGATTTGTTTTCGGACGAAGTGCGCGCATCCGCAGTTTTTATTATGTTCCCATTTTTTTAGGGTTCCGTACCCAAAGCTATTTCTAAAAGGAAAAAAAAATCAGTTGTATAATATTTTAATTAAAAAAAAAAAATGGAATGACAAAAAAGAGGATACCTACGGAGTTTCTTTCGCGTTTCTTCTCCGCTCGATGAACCTCATTACGAAACGGTGGTAGATTTAAAAACATATGATTATCGATAGATGAAATGTAAGTTTCTATGTCGATGAATAAATGATTTTGATTTTTGATATTTTTTTAAAGGTCTGTCCTTCCGTCTGCTGTATCTTATGAACCGTGATAGTTAGACAGTTGAAATTTTCACAGATTATGTATTTCTGTTTTCCACTATAACAACAAATACTGAAAAACAGAATAAAAAGATATTTAAGTGTCGTTTTTATAGATAATGGTACAGAAGTTTATACGGTGGTAGGGCCACGCAGCTGTTTCGGCTGTTGCACGAATAGGCAGGCTCGACCGGGTAAGTACCACAACCTCACAGAAGACCGGCGTAAAGTGGAAGTATAATACTTTCGCGTTTCGTCTGGTGAGTGAGGTGGCCGGAGCCCAATTTTCAAAAGGTCAACGCATCTGCAACCCTTGGGTGTAGCAGATGTCCATGGGCGGTGGTATAGCTTAACATCAGGTGAACCGTCTGCTCGCTTGGCGGCTTTTCACATAAAAAAAAATGAACCCTTCGTACGCGAGTAAGACTCGCATTTGTTTCGCCTTAACGAAGTCCTCGGGGTATTTGATGTTTGTTAATTCTAGACGGCACAATTGTTTGAGCGGATATTTCGAATTGCCACCCAAAATCGAATATCCGGTGTACAAGGTTTTTTCCAAATACCTTATTTACAATACTGAACGGCTTGTCAATTTCCAGCTTTGAATGGTTTAGTAATTATATACATATTCATTTTTAAATTTATTAAATTTTAATATCAAAATATTTCAGGAAGTTTATTCTCATCTTGATTCTTTTCAGTGACTAATATATGTTTTAAGAAAACAACACCATAAACCCTTTTTTCAGCTGTTCGTGCCGCAAAAATTCGAACGGAATTTTATTAGATACTTACGAATTCGATCCAAATCTTAAACGAAAACCAATTCGAAAATCTCGAACGTTCCAGAAGCGTGAATCTGTTTGTCTCGAACTTTCAACGCCTTGCTGAATTCTCCATAATTGAAGACGCAACGCAGAATCGCCGGCAAATGTGGGAAGGTAGTTTACCTGTCAGGCGGCGAAGGTAATTCCACACGTGACGCGATTGCAACGTAGACGCCACGTAACGTTTTAGAATATTAAACTCGTTCACAGAAACCATCGCGTTATATGTGTATGAGGTGCGAACGCAGGGACTCATTGGTTTTATAATATATGTATGTAGTTCAATGGAGCAACTTCACTGATTTTTTCTGCAGCTTTCAATATATCCTTTGGTATACCTCCAATATACCTTTTGTTTTTTCAAATCGCTTTATTCTTTGTAGTCTGATTTAAAATAGAATAGAAGTGGAACTTATGGATGGAGTCGAAATACTTGTCAAAAATTAGACCAGCTACTGTCTATTTGTATGACCCTTTGGGAACGAGATGTGAATGTTTGTTTATTAAATTTGATTAACTAATACATTCAAAACAACTACGCAACCGATTGCATGTTTCTTTGGGAACATGCCGCTATGTATTTAAATTTTAATGAAATAGTCAGTTACTAACAGACTATGCTTATCTTTATTTTGATGCTTGAGGTCAGTCTGGGATTAATTTAGCTTCATTGGATATTCGGCAAGTGAATATGTAAAATTGAAGCGTACAATTCAAGCCTGCATAGTTGTGTATTGGCCATTACTTACAGTATATATATAATATAAACAACAAAAATCTTTCCAGCAAGATCGTTTATTTTGCCCGAAGTTCAATATTTCACATTAGTTATAATATTAATGTCATGGATCATTATGGCTAGGTTAAAAAATTTTTATTGTTTTGACAGCCAGCTGGGATAGTGCAGTAGTCCATTGATTTAATCACTTGCACTGTACCACCCATCCAGCTTGCATACATTAAATGGCATTATGAATTACAAAATGTTGTTTGATATCTTCTTACTACTAGTAACACTAGAATTTAAGTTTCTGTTTTACTTAGATGTGGATTGTAAAATATCTATATATTACAACGGACTTAAATGACGTGAGTAGCGGGCACAGCAGAAATCAGGTATGAAAGCGAAGGATATTTTATTTTATTTATTACACAGGAGAGAGATGATTAGATTTATCTGTCTTTTTTAAAAACAACGTACCTTAATACAATCCAGCAATCTCCTCCTTTTCGAATATCCTACTGCGCTTGATACGTGAATTTGTCGGTTGGTTGAACTTCAAAGAACTCAGCTGTAAACGATTAGAACCCGGAGAGGGCTGGATTTATATACGTCATCAGTTCCAGCGCGAACCTATTACTAACTCGCGAAGAATCACTTAGTCTGTTTAGTTACATTAGTGTAGAGATCGCCATTGTTGTTTTTAATTTAAGACTCCTCAGTCTTTGTTTACTTGATAGTTAGAGACAGAGAGAGATAGAGAGACAGTAATAGTAAAGGAAGTTCGACATTAAGCGAAGAAAGGCAGCCAGCGTTATTGGCTCCATGCCGTGTCCCAGAGTAAAACGGGACCCTATTACTAAGACTCCGCTGACCGTCTGTCGGCTGTTGTATTTCATGAACCGTAGTGAGACAGTTGAAATTTTCACAGACGATGTATTTCTGTTGCCGCTATAACAACAAATACTAAAAAATAGAATAAAAAAAAATTACGTGGCGCTCCGATACAAGGGACATGATTTTTTCCCCCGTTTTTATATATACATTATATATGTACGTAACCCTTCGTGCGCGAGTCCGACTCCGGCCGGTTTTTACATATTGCGTTATTTGGTCAAAGTTTGATATCAAGAAAGAAGGTGAAAGGACCATTTATGTTGTATTCAAACGTTCCTTCAACGGTTTAATGGCTGGATCCGTCGTATCCGCATCGAGATTACCAAGTAGCTCTGATTACTGAACCCACAGAGGCTTGGCAACTTGAATACTAAATCGCCGAGTAGCAGCATCTCTCTAGTCATACCTGCAACAACATCTAATATATTCATTGGAACCCTGCAAGTTTCCATCTGCGGGCGGAACGTGCGATGAGAGAGTCCTTTGAGCATAAATATCATGTTACTTGTTTAAATGTATGTGTATACCTCTCCCTGTGTTTTTACTAAGCTCATACGTAAGTTATTATTTGTACGATTGGCTTGCTTTACTGGCTTGCTTTACTGGGTTGTTTACCTTTTAAAGTTGCTTAAGTTACAAAGCTATATGAGACGTTCGCGAAATTGGGTCAATTTGACGGAATTTATAACTGGCTAGCCATTGAATTTGACAATTTGCCAAAACATAACTCATTTTATTAACTCCACGTTCATTGCAGCCGTTCCGAATAGGAAAAGTTTGTTCAGCGACAGTATATTTTCTAACGTAAATGGTAAAAATTATTTAACATTTTAAGAGTTCTGATTGTTTCAAGGAATTTTTGATGAATACACGTTTATCTTTCTCTTTTTCTGCCTCCAGCCACTATAACACATAGGTGGGTCGGCACAACTTGAATCATTTTGTTTATGTTATTGGTTAGCTTTTTTACGACCGGTTGCCTGCTTTAAGTGAACCGTTGTGATTTTATATATCTCATATAATATTCCCGTATTTTCAAGCTTATTATTTTTATTATATGAGATACGTATAAATATAGGCTCTTTTCAATTATATTCATATTTACTTTGATCTATTGCACCTACCGCAATTTCTCGTCACGCCCCGGGTTATTAACTATAATAAATAATAATAATATAATATTAATAAATATCTAATAAGCATTAACTTTCCTCAACTGATGATGGTAATCGATACAACGGTGGTGATGGTTGCATCATTACAGACGAGTGGTCATTATGAGTGGTTTAGCACTTAGCGCTTGAAGCGTTTCAGACATCGGGGCATCAATTCGGCGATAATTTCGTCAAGCGCCTCCGCCGCTGAACGGGCCATTGACTCCGCCGACTCCCGTGTAATGTCCGGCATTAACACGGCGCACAAACACCGCGCGTTTGTCGAGGCTAATTGGGCACAGTGTAAATCCCGCTTAAATGCGGCCACAGCTCTGCTCACTGTAAAATTTCATCTTGAAATACTTCATCGTTCTTTCATAAAACGTGGCCGAATTGCCTATAATTATGCGGCATGGCCGTGATAACTCATTGTCCGGGCGCTCGCTTTCAATTCAATATACTCGTGTAACCTGTGTTCGATATCCGGTGCCGGCACCAATGAAATTGTTAATTATGACTTATCACGTCAACTGTGGTAGGACCGCAACAGTGTTCACTGTTGCACAAATGGGCAGGTTCCTCGGAGTTAGTACCACGACCTCACAGAAGAGCGGCGTAAAGTAGAAATGTTACACTTCTGCATTTCGTTTGGTTAATGAGGTGACCGGAGTCCACTTTATTTATCGGTGGCAACGCATTTGCAACGCTACGGGTGTTGCTAATGTCCATGGGCGGCGGTTATCACTTAACATCCGGTGAACCGCCGGCTCGTTTGACATTTTGCTGATTAATCGAGTTACACCCTACCTCACGGAACTCCAATTTGACCAACAGATGACATAAATTTGGGCACACTGGAAAATTATTTCGGATATCACAGAATAAGCATATGACTTTGTACCAATTATATCTCAAAGGTGGTTTTTATCATAACGTCCATATTTCTTCGTCAAATTTAATAATTCAAATACCATTTTAAAGCTTACATTTGCCGCTATTAAAGAAAACGACAAATAGAAAATTTCTTAATGTCTCAATAAACAATGTATGATAGTGCCCTCAATTGACAATGTGTTTAAATGAAAGATAACGAAAAAGAAATTTCCCGTTATGTTTCGAAACCTTTCATTGGTAATTACATATTTGCAAAGTATCATATTTTATCATTCGGTCACTGATCACGCTACTGTGCGAAAATTTCGCGCGGGTCATTGTTTAATATTCGCCTTTCGCTACTTAAACTTAACTTACAGATTTCTCGTGTTTAATTATGGTTGTAGTTCTCGACGTTTCGAACATAAGAGAGTTCTCAGTCAAGGGACAGACATTTTTGTATATATAACAATTTAGCTATTGAATAGGAGACTAATTTTATATACTTTAATTACCAACGAAAACGAAAAAAAGCCAAAGTGAAGCGTGGCCTGTTTCAGCCAGTTTTAAATAGATAGATATACATATATCTCTTGAATTCGAAGTATTTTTACTGTGATTATATGTCAGCATCTCATAGCTTGCCGATGCGTTGACAACCATTAAAAAATGGACCCCCGTTACCACACACACCGGATGAAACGCAACATCATTATATATCTTACTCATACTTTCTCTTCACGCTGCACTTTTCTAGGTGCATATTACGAAAGACAAAACTTTTGATTTAGAACTTATTCGATTTTTAATGTCGCCAATGAGCTTCTAGAGACCCGTAAAGTTGCATGCTATGTAATACACAGAAACGAACGAAAGAAGTTTATGCGTGGCTACTTTACTGTTCATGTTTCTTTGCCTCCTTATCCACAAAAAATAGTCTGACAATTGGCTTATTTGCTTCCCTAACGCCCGGTTTCTGAAACTGTGTAGTACATCGTAGAAATTAACCAATCAGGCTTCTCAAATCTCATTTGAGGTGCCACAAGGATGGTTAAATAAGTAAAAGTTGATCAAAACGACCGGAATGATCGATTCAAAGAGTTTAATTTCTACGATGATCAGTGTTTCAGTTGGTTCATATTCAACTTAGACACTGATAAGACATCAGTGTCTAAGTTGAATATGAACCAAGAGTAATTATAACACAAACTTGCTCAACTCAAGTCCGATAACCGACAGAGACAATTTCGCGTATGTCGATCGATTTACCATTAGGTTATCGTAAACTATGATTTACATGTGTGGATGCGAATTTACAATCCGCTGATTTACGGCTGTGATTTATGCGCCAACTTGCCGCCTGAATAAGTAATTTTTCAATTCAACACTGATTATAACATATGTGTGGCCATTCCATCTAGGCCATTCCATCAAAGGTTGACGTGATCTAACACGAATGTATGTACATGTGTTAGTTTATCAATACTTGATGCGTAATATTGACAAACTTATATCTAGTTAAGAATATGTCAGTAGCTGTAGTTAAATATTGAATAAACATAAGTAATTATCGTTAGGAATAATCTGGCAGTAAGTCACAGATAACTTTTTGCGACCTGCCTAGCTTACGTGTACCTATTATATTATGTAATTATACATTCCTATTTTTTTTGACAATTGTAGTTATTAACTTAGTAATTTCAATTAATTAAATCTTTACCACGACCATAAATCACAGAAAAAAAGAAGATGGTTTTACAATCAATGAGCGTAACACTGAATTGTGTAATAGTCGTAATAACAACACCTGTCAAGATTTGATTAAATCACCAGAAACTGTTTAGGCCAAATTAGAAATGGTTTAATAAGTGTTACAATCCATCTTTAGATCTAATATTAAATATTAAAAGTAATCGACTCGTGATGTCAAATACCCGATATATTAATTGTAATTTTTTATTTGATTAAGTCAGTAAAAATTTAATAACAGACATGCACCGTGCAACAGTTTCTTCCATAAATTTCGACCGGTGTAACACCCGAAAGTATTTACATGAGTTATCTATTTAACATAACGATATTTTTAACTGAGGTAGCTTTTGCTAATTTCGTAAAATCGGCTCATTACAGTGTGTACGTCTACGCGTCCGAAGATTCTTAAGCGTTAGTTAACCTTCAGCGTACATGGGTTGAGATTTGTGCGGGTCACGGTAGGTCGTGCGACGCGGGGATTCTGTAGTGCCGGGGCATTAATCCCGGGCGCCGAAACATCGCTCATTCGCAGCCAGAAGCCTCACCATCAATCATTAAGTTTGGAGCGAAACGCACCTTCATACCTATATAATGTTCTACTCTTCACCTCACGTGAACTAATGTTTGCCGTTTTCCACCGGTCTCAGTGTAGCTTTTTATATCGAGGGTATATTTTGCCCCATGTCTAGCGTATCATAAAATATATTTGTGAAAATGTTAGAAGTAATATGGCGCTCTTCCAAATAGTGGTGCAAACATCAAAGAAAATAATTCGTAACAATAATTATATACTCCATTATCTCACTCCCATCTTCGTGCATATTCTTACCACGTAGAATCTTTAAATTCTATCATGTTCGAGTACGTTTGTACACATGTTGGTTGTTAATGTGCCCAGCATTAATTGTGGTTTTGTTTATACACTTTGAACACGACATATTAAAGCGGTAAGAATTTAGATCTTGTTGTTAAAATACTTTTAATTAAATAAAATTATATATGGGAATGGAAAAATATGCATTAAAAAAATTAAATTTAATAAAACAAAGCCATTGACGTTTCTTTGAAGCGTCAAATTAGAGAATTAATTGTGAAGCGTCTCTACACTACCGGATCAATCAATTTAAACAGACCAAAAACGGTAACGCACGTCACCCGAACTTACGTAGATCCATTGCGAAGTTTGCTTTTAATCAAAGGCTAATTAAAACGCAGTCCACTCGTACGGGATTTAATTAACAATAGTAGCTGGTGCGGACTCCGCGTCGCCTTTATAACGGCCCCAATTTTACTTCCACCGTTACCGGACGAAATTCCGCACGTCCGGCGTCGGTCCGGAGCTCTCCGGTTGGTGCCGCAATTAACATTTCGCCGCCGTACGCTGTCCGGTCGGACCGCACCTCGGTGTCCGGTTGCCGCTCGCCAAATTAGCGCCGGTTCCGACTTCGCAACTGGAGACGGATTGACTCGGCGACCGGACCCTAGTTTGCCGTATGTACAAACTAAAACCAAATTCACTTCATGTAAAACGAGATCGATGCTTCAATGTTCACTTTAAGCAAGTTTAAAGTAATTTGAAAGATATTTCTAAAAAGCATCTGTTTTTTTACGTCAATTTTTGAGTACTATTTTCGAAGAGCCGGGATAGCTGATACTCCGGTCGCTCGATTTTCCTTCAGTATACTCGAGCAACCTGAGTTCAATCCCTACTCATGAAATTATTAATTTTCTTATATTCGACTCTTATATTATATGACGCCAATCCGCGGTGGAGCCGCGTGATGGACTATAATAATAAATGATACCCTCTTTAGAGGAGGCCTTATCCCAGCAGTGGGACATATTTAGGTTTATTTACTTTACTTTTTCTAGTTAAAAATATACCGAAAACGATGTCAAAGTATGCAGTAGCTGTTGAATAATGTACCGCGATTTGAAGTAAATGGCGGTTGGATATAGTTTTCCATACTTTTGTACGCGTTAAAGACAGCTCCTATCATGTTTATTTACAGAGTGAACAACTAAATTGCTTATGTTGTATGTTAGATTTATAATGCGCGCGGCAGTAAGCCACGCGTCCCGCATGCAAATCACTGTTAGATATAAACCACTATAAACTCCCTGTCCATAAACTATGCCAGTTGCACCCCAAATATTGTTCAATCATTGTTTGTTTGGCCGTTCTTCTTTGGTGTATGGCCATTTTAATCATCTATTGGTCTTGTTCATAAACACCCGTCAGAATACATTTACTTCCTTAATCTATTTACTTGAAGAGTTACTTACGGTCGCTGATTTTGTCTGATCTTATTGACAATGACGTTAAAATTTACGTGTTAACAAAAAATAGAATGCCAACTAACGACGCGGTCAATAATTTATTTACATATAAACAAAGAGCTGAATTAGATTGGATTGTACGTATCCACATCCATACGTACGTATACACATACGTACGTATCCACAACCCTACTGAACACTTGCTGCGAATGCAATATTACATTCCATTCTTCCGCGCATCCCCGATGTTTTGCATTACAATTCATCGTTTATTAGCCGACGCTGGGGCCAGGAATTAGGGGTGCACGGGGCGCCGAAAATATGTCGCCTAGTCGCTCGCAACGCGGACTTTGTTGCGATTTAATGAACCGTGATTGTCGAGGGCCCCCGCCGAGTCCGATTTTCGTGCGCCATTGTGAGCTAGTTAATTTATCGACGCGTCAAGTGGCGAGATGCTGCCTCTCGTTCGTCCCGCCATGTGTTACGGCTAGTTTCGACGGTTTATTATGCAATACGGAGTTCCGGATTTTAGGGGAGCTCGTTTTTTTAGACGGTTTGTCGTGTGTGGCTCATACCCCTCTTGCGTTTGCTTATTCTGTGAGCTTCGAGAATTAAGTACCCGTATAAGGTGTTATTTACGGTCTTGTTCTTATATTCTTATTTTTTTTTCTTTACGTTTATAACGTCGACTGCGTGTCCATTACTCTTCGTACCTACGTGTCATGTAACATCTCATAACACAATTTACAAAGCATCGAGTAAATTGCTTTGTAATTCCCGTCCGCCGAATGAAAGATTAGCGCGCCGCCGTATTTTTTATTATTGCGATATTTTCGAGGATAGAAGCCGATTGGAGTAACACAATTACGCCTCCCCAAGTTCTCAAGCCCTGACACCTTGACAGGCGTCCTCCGCGGACGCGACAGTCTGTCTTCTTGTCAAGCGCCACTCGCCGAATTGGCCCACTCAGCACCTGCCCCGCTTAAACAGTTCAGAACCCCTCCCTCACCAAAACCACCTCTCCCCACATCTCACCTCGGAAATTAACCGCGCTGTAGACCCGACGAATAGACATAGCAAACAAGAACACGATCGCTTTTGCCTCCATTGAACCCACACGCTGACGTTTAAAATCTCCCGACCGAATGAACCGGGGGACGAAACAAAAAACTATCGTTTTTTTTAAATTATGTTTCGTATAAAAACTCGTGGCGTCATCATGACGTAACATAACCCGACCAAAACACACGGTCCGCGGAATAATTCATTTGTAATGGGCGAGCGGTCGTGCGTAAAAATAATTGGTCCCCCCCACAAAGGATGTCATCTATTTCCGATGGGCGAAAAATTTTAATTTTGATTTTCTGTAAACTCCAACAGCGCGCACCCGACTCTGCGAATGAATTTAATTAATCCCGAAAGGGTTCTATTTGGTAAAATTCGATTGCTTTTTTGCGTTTAAACAAAGAAAGATAACCAATGAATTATTGCTTTAGACAAAACGTGCATTAAATAGGTATCAGTAAAACAATTTTTAATTGATCTCAAAGTTTCTAATCATAAAACAGGCTGGGTTTTTTTAATGTGTATTGTTGAAGTTATATTTTGGTATCGTTCATGTGAATTGGGGTCTCGAATTTGTGAGACTTTAAGGACTACTATTAATTATTAATTTGTCCCTGCGTATACTCCGAGTGTCCTACAGAGGTTGTACCTGATTCAAAACGATATCCAGTATAAAGCAGTACTTCTAAAATCGAAAATGTGACTCACAAAAATACACGGTAACACGCGAAGCGATTCGCGCAAGCAGCATGCATTGTACTAAATAAGTTTCGCGAAAAATTATCAAGCATTTCGTCCTCCATTGTTCGACTTTTTATCGTCCGTAATACGGTGCAGTTCTCGGTTTCGTTTCTCGTTCGAATCCTCGAATGTTTCGGAGAAAATTTTACGACTCGGCATACTTTATAATTGGATGTTACGCAAAACGATTTTTCGACGGCGACAACTCCATTAGGGTTTGTGACCCAAAATGGCGATGTGTTGACAAGGAATTTAATATATATGTATACCTTGTCGACACCGTCGTACGTGCCTTTAGTTCGATTAAAGTATTCTCGATATGGGAGAAGGAAAACAGAAGGCGGTTCACCTGATGTTGGATTGCCGGTTTGTGATTACCGCCAACCAATTGGATATTGCACCTGTGTGGTTGCTTTCAGCTGTTTAGTTTGCGCACTGCAAACTGCGTTTACTTACTAGACCAAACAGCAGATTATTTTTTTATGTGAGAACTTGGCAAGCAATCTGGCAGTTCACTTTACGTAGAACTATTCATTGATTATACTGTATAATTTGTTTGCATGTTGCAGTCTCTTTTTTAATAAAATGGGGCCCGGTCAATTCACTCACCGATTAACCTCGAAAGTATAGTAAAAGAACGTTTGTGTGTTAAAGGCTACTATAATATTAATGATTATTTAAATGATAACACACTCTGGTAATGAACTGATCGCTCCAGGCTCTTTCAATCGGAGTTCTTATATTGTATTTTAACGAATTTATGTCAAACTGCTTATTTAAAAAAAAAAAAAAGCCCGCTGAGTTTCTTTCGCCGGTTCTTCTCAGTACAGTGGCTTTCTTTTCCGAACCGGTGGTAGTGTTTTGACTATGAATAAGTGAGTGTAATGCATCTATGTTGAATAAATACATTTGATTTTTGATTTTTGATTTTTTTTTAATAGTACTTCCACTTTACGCCGGTCTACTATGAGGCCGTGATAGTTCCTCGGAAGAGCATTCCCATTTGTGCAACATAGACCGTTTCGTGGTCTTACCGCAGGTGAGGTATAAAACTAACATACCAATCGAATTAAACTTCCTAGTAATCTTCAAAAGTTTAATTGCGACGCCAACGTATTTAAAATATCGCCTTTTTGCTATGAATTAAAGAAATGCAAACAAAACATAACGCGAGCAACGCTTACTAACGTGCGTCGGAACGTGTGGTCGGAACGATTCGTTCGCGGCTATTTTGCATATAGATTGTTCGCGCCGTTATGAATTTTGTTAAGAATAAATTACGCCGCCACATCGAATCCGAAATCCATCTGAATCAGTTGACAGTAGAAACCTTCATACTGCTGTCAACTCCTGGAATACAAAGTAACCAAATCGCTAAACGATACATAAAGATCACTACACAAGTATTAACAAAAACGAAACCGACTTCAAATATATCAA